TATATTATTGTATATTTTAGACTATTTATTTTATATCATTATTATTTTTATATAATATTTTATGTATCATATATTATATTATCAAAACAGTTTTAAACATTTTTTAATATATTTACAACTGTTTAATTTAATAATTTATCTGTTTTATTAGATTATTCATTTACTTTTTATAATAATTTAAATAATTTTAATAATTTAATATTTTACTTTTATTTTCTTTATATAATGATTGACTTATATTTCGTTGTTTTTACTCATTTACATTTATATATTTTTTTAACTATTAAGTTAATGCTACTTTTTATTTTTCCATTTATTTTAATTCTAAATACTTAAACTAATTAGCTATTTTTTTTTTTAATATAATTTACATTAAAAAATAATTATAACTTTTTTTATTTCCTTCATTTATACTTTAATACATATTCTTACTAATATTTTATAAATATTTATTTTTTATTTTATATACCTTTTTTATCTTATATTATTATTATTTTTAAAGTTATTTTTTATTTAGTATTAATTTTAAATATTTTATTAAGGCAAAAAAACCTACTAAGATTTGTTTTTAATTAAACTTTATTTAATTTCATTTTTAGATTATTAAATTTATAAATTTTCTTAAAAATTATTATTTTATGAATTTCTTTTTTTATTTATTTTACAAAAATATAATAAAATATTTTACTATATTTATTAAACTTCCTAATTTTTTTTTTTTCAATATCTTCATTTTAATTATTTAAGTTTTTTTAAAAAACTAACTTTTAATCTGTATAATACATAGAAGGGTCATTTTCATAATTTAATTTTACTTTTCTTACATAAATACCATCATATTTCTAACAATTATTTTAATTAAAACCTTATCTCATCAATTGTTTATATTCATTTTCTATTTTTTAAACATCATATATTTACTTTTAACTTTTTCTATTTGTTAGGTTATTTTCATTAAATATAGAACTATAAATTTCGCTATTTTCGAACATTTTTTTGTACAAACTTGTATTTTGAACACTTTAAAATTAAATATTCTAATTTGATTATAGGTTATTATTATAATTGCTGACATTTAAATCGTTAATAATTAAATTGTTTATATTTTAAATAGAATTTAAATCCTCTTCTTAGTAAAAATCATTACTTATATCATTTTTATTGACATTTTATTAAAGTCTCATTTTAATTTAAAATTAATGAATTAGTTTCAGGTAAATAAATCGATTTTTTTTATTTTATATTAATGTTTTGTTTAGTTAATTAAAGACTGTTGCTAAATCCTCTTCTTAGTAAAAATCATTACTTATATCATTTTTTTATTGACATTTTATTAAAGTCTCATTTTAATTTAAATTAATGAATTAGTTTCAGGTAAATAAATCGATTTTTTTTATTTTATATTAATGTTTTGTTTAGTTAATTAAAGACTGTTGCTTTTATAAATTTATTTTATTTAATTATTTTATATTTCTTTTTATTATATAATAGAATCATTATTAATATTTAATTGAAAAGACTAAGGATTAATTGAATATTTTTAATAAAAACTATTTTTTTTATGGGTTTATTAATAATTAATATTTAACATTTTTTTATATTTAATTATAATGTTTATTATAATAAAAAAAATATGAAATATGTAAATGAAAAAAAAAAAAATAAGTTAAAAAAAAAAAATTATCTTTATTAAAATTTTAATTAATTTTTACTTAAAAGAAAAAAATAAAATATATATATATTAATGTAAATAAATATATATATAAGAAAAAAAAAGAAAAAAACATATTTAAAAAATAATATTTAATGTTTAAATATTAATATAATGTAAAAAATAAAAAAAAAAATATAATTGTTAATCAATATCTAATATAAAATTAATATTAATAAAAATGAAAAATTATAAAAAAGATCTTAAAGTTATATTTATAAGAATATTAATGTTACATATTGTATAATTATACAATTAAATATAAATTTATATAATTGTTAAGATGTTTATAGTATAAAAAGTATAAATATTCAGATTATATATAAATTTATATATTAAAAAAGTTTATTAATAAATTTATATAAATATAATATAAAAACCAAAAAATATATAGTATTTGTATAATCATTATTAAAAATAATTATATTTATAAAATAAAAGTTTTTTTATTTAAATAAAAAAAAATATAAATAAAAAATAAAATTAATATTTGAATATCTAAGAATAAAATATAAATAAATAAAACTAATATAAAAATAAAAAAATTTGTATAATATGAAAAAAATATATTTATATTTAAAATAAAAATAAAAAAAAAAATCATAATTAAAATAATATACATAAATATATTAAATAGATTAATACTCATTCACTTAATTCATTATTTCATTAAATAATTCATTAATTCTATAATTAATTAAATTATTCAATCATTTATTAAAATATTAAAATATATATTTATTTATATATTTATATATTATTTTATATATTTTTATATTTATTTAAAAAATAATTTTTTATAGATTTAATTTATATGTATTTCTTATAAATATTTATTTAGTTTTATGAATTAAAAGTATTTTTAAACAGCCTAAATAAGAATATATTTTATTCATAATTTTTTATATAAAATTTTATATACATTTATCAAAAAAATTTAGATATTATGTTTTTATTTTTATTAATGATCATATATAGATTTTTTTTTAATTTGACATAATAATATACTTTTTAAAAAAAAAAATGGAAAAAATTAATGCAAATTTAAATATAAATAAACTTTATATTGTAATTATAATTTTTATTTATTTATTATATATGTAATTTTATTTTTACTTTAATTTACATTTAAAATTTTTAAAATCAATTATATATGAAAATACATTATTTATATTAATATTTATTATATAATTTATTTAATATAAATATAATTTTAAAATAATATTTTATTTATATTCATAATATCAAAAAATTCTTTATATAAAAGATTTTTCTTTTATATATAAATAATTTATAATAATTAAAATAAATATTTTTTATAACATATTTTTTTTCAAATAAAACAAAAAAATCTATTTTAATTTGTATTTATTTTCTTTTAATTTCAATATTTATTTCTTATAAAACAATAAAGAAAAATATTTTCACTTTATTTAAATGAAAAAAAATATTAAATTATAAAAAAAAAGATTATAAATAAAAATAAATTTTATATCAAAAGTCTAATTCTCCAAAAAAGTCATTATTTTTTGCCTTTTCTATTAGTGCTTTTTCCTATTTTTTTATAATAATATCTATTTATTGATAAAAAAGATTACTTTTGCTTATATATTTTCTTATTATTTTTTCGCTTAAGTATTTTTATTGCTATTGTTATTATTATTACTAGGTTTTTTACCAAAATTAAAGCAATCATCATCATCATAGTTGATTTTTTTTTAATTGTTATCTTTCAAAAAACTAAGTCCGTCATCCAAATCATCATCTAAAAGAGAATTTTTTTATTTTTATACATATTATTAATTTTCTTATTTATTTTAAACATTATTTTAAGAAACATCTTGTGGAATTTATACAGAATAAGCAGGTTAATCGTTTGTAAAAATATCTCTATTAACAACTTTTGTTATATTTTAATTATTATTTAAATTATTTTTCTTATTATTTCTTCTATTACGATTATTTGGACCCATAAAATTATCATCTTAGTTATTATTAGTTGTATTTATGTTTTATTATTATTATTATTATTATTCATTCTATGCTTAATTATTAATATTATTATAATTATTGTTAATTTCTAATTTTGTATTTTCTTATTTTTATAAATTTGCTTTAAAATTAAATGATTTACCTCCATTATTTTATTATTAAGAATTTGTATTATCATTAAAATTGTTATTATTATTAATGGTATTATTATTATTATTATTATTATTATTATTATTATTATTATTATTACTATTATAGTTATTAATATTAATATTTTAATTATTATTAATTTTAAATTCTTCACTTTTTTAGTTTTCGTCATTATTTTATTTTACTAAATTTCTGTTTCTTCTTGAAACTCCTTAATTAAAGTTATATGTATTTTCTTCTTAAACTTAATTTTATTGTTATTGTTATTATTAATTATTTTATTCATTTTTTTATTAATTGTAATTGGTATTTTCATTTTTATTAAATTTATCTTTATTTTAATCTTCGTCATCAAATAAATTATTTATATCAAATTTTTTTTTCACATTTTTTTAAGATTACTAAGTTTCCTGTATTTATTAATTTGCTTGTTTTTGTTATTCTTCTTATTTTTTTTCTTCTTAATCTTAATTATGAGTGAAAGAATAACCTTCATCTTATTATTTTTTTATATTTCTATTTCTTCCTACACGAGAATTATATTAAAATTAATATTAGTTATCATTAGGTTGAGTGTTTTAATTATTTTAATTTTAATCTTCTTTTTTTAATTTTATTATTATTCATTTTATTTTTCTTATTATTAATTTTCTTATTTATCCTAATACATATTTTCTTATTATTCATTTAATTTAAACTTAAACATTTTTTGAGGTTTAATATTATTAATAAAATCATCATCTATTATTTCTTTTTTTATTAAACATAATTATTATCATTATTATTATTATTATCATTATTATTATTATTATTATTATTATTATTATTATTTTATTTTTAAAATTAAATAATTTTGGTTTAAATTAGTCTCCGCCAGAAATAGGCATATTTGTATCTTCTTATTTTTCTTCTTTATTATCTTCAACTTAAATATTTTCTTCTAATTTTTTGAATTTTTTAATCGAAAAAGGTTTACTAAACTCACCTTTTATATTTTATTCTTATTCTTTTTTTTATTAAAGAGATTCTTTTTATTATTAACTTGAATCATTATTTTAATATTCTAATTAAAAATTTTTACTATTATTATTATTCTAATTTTCTTCTGTAATATCAATACTTTAATTCTGACTATTTTTTTTTTTAATGGTGATTTGAATTATTTTTAAGGACTTTATGATTTTTATTTATTTTTATCTTATTATTATATTTAATTTTCGAAAGCTTCTTTTAAATGCCTACTTAATATATTTTCTCTTTATAATTTATCTTAAATTTAATGAGTAAGTGTAATAATTTCTATTTATTTTTAATTTATATCTTCATTTTTTGTAAATATTTCTTTTTTAATTCTTCAATCTCTCTATTTTATATATTTTCTTTTGTTTTTTTCATTTTTTGTAAAGTTTCAATTTATTTTTTTAATAAATTTATTTTTTCTTTATTTTCCTTTAAATTTTTCTCCTCTTCGTTTTTTTAAAATATATCGATTTTAAGATCTTTTGCTTCTTCTATTTTTTTTTTTAATTCTTAGTTTATTAACTATTTTTTTTTGTTAATTTCATTTATTTAATTCGCTATTTCTTCCCTTTTTTTTTAACCTTCATGGTTTTTTTAAACTAATAGATTTATTTCTTTCCTCAAATTAAATATTTCTTTGCTTTATTATTCATCTTCGTTTGCATTCTGAAGTCTTTTGGCCTATTTTTGGTTATCTAATTGTACACTTTTGATTTCTTTTTTGTTTTTTCAATTAAATTTTTCGTGGCTTTTATTTTTCTTTCGACTTCTTCTATATATTGAGGGTTTTAAATTAAATTTAATCTATCTTATAATTTATTTAATTCGATTTAATATTATTTGATTTGCTTTTGATTATTTTCTTATTCCGAGTATTTATTTTCTTATATTTTATCTTTTAAAAAAGGTTAATTTTTTTTATTAATTTAAATTTATTTGCATTTAAAATTTCGTACTTTCAATTTATTAATTTAATTTTTCATTGAAATCTTTTAATTTTTGTCTTAATTTTTCATTTTCTTATTTTAATTATTTTAAAGTGGTTTTTTCGTAATTTTTTTCTGATAAAAGATCATCTAAGTCTTTAATAGACAAAAATTTCGAATTATTTTCTTCTTTTTTTTAAAGTTTTTTCTTCTTTTTTTAAATTTTAATTTCCTCTTTTTTTTCATAATTTTATTTTTTTATATTTTCTTTAGAATTTTAATTTAATTATTAATTTAATTAATTTCTTATATTTTTATTGTTTTCTTATTAAAAAATATTATCTTTTTCTTAAATATTATTCTTTTTTTCAGATTTTTTTCCTGAATTATCATAAATACCTAATTCTGGTAAATCAGATAATTCGCTTATTTTTTCTTCATATATTTCCTCTTATTCTTATTATATATATTCTTTTTAATCTTATTCTTCTTCATCTTCATCTTCATCTTCTTAATAATTATAATTATTTTCATATTATTCTGAATCATTATTATTTTTAATTTATTATTATTATTATTATTATTATTATTTTTATTATTATTATTATTATTATTATTAATCTTTTTCTTAATCATCATCGTAATCTTAATAAATATCATCATTTTCATCTTCATTTTCTTCATCTTATTTATATTTCTAATTTGTTTTATTATCATCATCTTTTTCATGTTCATATTGATAATTATTATTATCTTCATATTGATCAATGTCATCATATTAATTTTTTCTTATTTTTCTTATTTTTTTACATTTTATTCACTTTTATTATTATTTACTTCTTATTTAATATTTACAATATCATCTAAATCATCCAAATCATCCAAATAATCTTCTTTTTCTACTTTTTTGACTTAATTTTTATTTCTATTTGATATTTAAGGCAAGTTATCTATATCATCTAGTTCCATATCATCATCATCTTATTATTACTTCCCTTTTGAAACATTTTTTTAATTATTTTTATTATAATTTAAAGGTGATAAGTTATTTTTTATAGGAGGAAGATTAGATTTTGACTATTTAACTGGCTATATAAAATTATCTTCATCATCATCACTAAAAAAATCGTCATATTATTTCTTTTTTTATTAATTTTAAGATTATTGTTATTGCTTTTAAGGTTAATTATTTTATGTATAAGGTACTCTTTTATATATAATTTTTTTTTTTTTTTTTTTTTATTACATATCATCTAAATCATCTAATAAATCATCATCAAAATCAGCCATTTTAAACTTAATTTTTTTGAATTAATGATTTGATTTTTTTTAAATGTAAGTTTTTTTTTTTTTATTTTTTTATAAATTTAAATTATTTTTTTTTTTTAAAAAAAAATAAATAAATAAAATAATATAATATACAATTAAGATTTTAATATATATAATTTTTTATATATATATAAATCAATAGAAAAAATACACAAATTAAATTTAATATGAATTATGAATATCATGTTATTTACTTAGCATTTTTTATAAAATTTTATTATTAAAAATTTTATTATATTAAATTAATTCAATAAAGTTTATTTATATCTTCTAAATTCATATATAATATATATATATATATATATATATATATATATATATATATATATATATTATAAATATTTATTTAATTCTAAATAAAAACTTAATAATTTTATTATTAATAAATATAAAATATAATATAATATAGATAAATATTTATTTATATAATTAAATATATTTATTTTATTATTCTTTATTTTATTTATATTCTTATATCTTAGATTTACTAATATTTGTATATTGATAACTAATAATAAATATTCTTATTAGCATTTTTCATAAACTATAAAATAATTAATGTTTTCAATTTATTTTTATAGAAACTTATATTTCTGATTCTACAGATAATACAAGTATTATTGTCTTTAATAACTTTAAAAAGATACTATCAGTATTTTTATATTATATTTATAACATAATCTATAGTTTAATCTTTTTAATTATTTAAATTAACGCCTTATTTTTTTATAGATTTAAATATTATAAAGATTTACTCAAATAAATGTTTTTTTTAATTATATATAATAACAATTTTATTTTATATTTCAAAAAAAAAAAAAATTTGTTAATAATTACATAAATATAAATTATATAATATTTATAATTATATAAACTATATTAAAATCGAATTTATATATTATAAATATCAATATATATTAGATTTAATCTAATCTTTTAAATTTAAATATAAATTCCTCTATATATTTTTAAAAATAATATTATAATACATTCTTTACTATATTTTTATTATTATACTAATAGCAAACTCCATTTAAATTTTTTAAATTTAAATCTATTTAATTAACTTCTTCTTCGACAGGTAACTAAAAATATATATTTCTGATCATACATACTACTTATTATTTTTCTTTATTATTATATTTGCATTATTTACAAACATTGAATTTATACCTTATTTATATTATTTTTCTAATACATAATTAATTATATTTTGAATAAAGCCATAATTTTATTCTTATTATCAAGAGAGAGCATAATTCTTTATTATATGAACATTTAAATATTTCCATTCATAGTCAATATTTCCGATTCTATATAGCTGAATATTATTAGATTTTTTATCCAAGAAGATCTATTTAATATAAAAGATTTTTTTTTAATAACCGCTTTTTTCTCTATTAATAATATCTTTAAAATAAATTATTATTATGTTTCTAAATTAAGTAAAATATTTTTTTTTTTTAAGTGTTCAAATATATCACATCATAAGAAATTGTGTTTTTATATTAATTATTCATTTAATTTTTCTAAATATTTGTTAGTCTTTAAACAAATATCTGAAAAAAAAAAAAAAAATTATAGTAATGAAAAAAATAGCAAGAAAAATACTAAGTTTTCAATAAAAATGCTTATGAAAATAATTATTTCTAAATTTAAATATTCACTAAGGCCAATTAAATATATTTTTCTTCATTTTTACATACTAAAAAAGGAGATAAAAAACATATAAACTTAAACTTCTTTTAAATACCTATAGAAAAGTAATATATGGCTTAATTATACAAGCATGTAACATTTTTTTTTTCATTACAAAATTTTTAATTTAATAAAGAGTTTAATTACAAATTTATAGCTATTTAAAAAGATTTTATTTTAATATTAATTAGTATTTATAATTTAAAAGCTATATTTAATAATATATGTCATATTATGAGTTTTTAAGCTTTTATATATAATAATTTTTTTATTCTAAAATTTAAAGTTTTAATTAATGTCTCTAAAAGTTGTAATTATTTTTATTTAAATTTTTAATATATTTCTTTTATTTATTAACTATATTAATGTATTTATATATAATGTATTATTTAGACAATTTTTTAAGGTTTTTAATAAAATTTTTTTGTTTAAAGTTCGAAGATAATTATATATGTTGAGAGAATTCTGTTATCATATTATTTAAAAAAAATTGGCATATATAAAATGAATTTTATTTATATATTTTTGAAAAATTTAATAATAAAAATTATTTGTAAAATAAATAATTTTAATTATTTTATATTTTCTATATTTTAGAATTGTTGTGTTAGCAAATTTTCGTAAATTTAAGCTTAAAATATATATATAACAAAAAAATATTACAAAAAAAAAAATGAAATAAAATAATTTAAACAATTCAAATTAATTTCAAAAAAGAACTAGAATATAATAAAACTAATATTAAAATTCAACTAATCAAATTCAAAATAGTACCATATAAAAACGCAAAACTATCAAATTTAAATAAATTGATCAATGTACATTAAAAAATTAGATACTAAACCAAAAAAATATAGACTAAAAACAAACAATAAAAGATATATAGATTTAAAACAATTCTAACAAAATTAAAATTTTAGAATAAATAATTCTATAAGAAAAAGCTGAAAGAGAAAAAAAAATTATAAATAAAAAAATAATTGAACTAATTGACTAATTATAAGAAAACGATTAAGCTACATCTTAATTAGACTAAATAATATTAAATCGTAAATAATTATAAATAAATATTTTAATATATAAATAAAATATATTTATATATATATATATATATATATTTATATATTTATATATTTATATATTATAAATATTTATTAAATAAAGCTTATAGCAAGTTTTTACCTTAATAATACTTTTAGTATAGAAATACATGTATACCTTAAGAAGTATAAACTTTTATAAATTAAAATTAAAATTAGAGTGTTAAAAAAGTAAATTTTATAAAAATAATTATAATTTTATTTAAATGTATATATATAAATATATATATATATATTTATATATATTAATTTATATTTATATATATATTTATATTTTTATTTATTTATACATATATATACAAATTTATAGGGATTAATAACTGACCTTAATATTGCTTGGATTTCTGTTGGAAAAACTTTTTTTTTATGGATTTATGGACCTACTAACTATAATTTTTACGAAAATTTATATTTAAAAAATTTACATTATAATTAGACTTTTGTTTATAATTCTGAAAATCAAGAATTACAAAATTTTACGAGTTTTAAAATTTTATAATTTTAAAATGAAATATTATAAATATCTTATGCAAAGCCTAAATAAATGATTTTTCAATAAAATGAAATTAGTGATATTCTTATTATTGTTTTTCAAACTGAAATTTATTTAAAATAAATAAGTATTTTAGATTCTGAAATATATATAAGAGATTTATCAATAACAATAAATACAAATAAAGAACAAATATAATGTGTAAGAAAGAAAAATAATAATATTCATATATAAATAAATATAATTTTAAAGGTAAATGTTTCTGAAAGCGGAAATATATTTTTTGGTGGTAATTCTGGCAGAATCAAATATTTAGACTATAGTCCACGTAACTTATTTAATTTAAATTTCAAAGGC